GGACACTGTCACGGCGCCACGTGGGAGGCCAAGCAAGCGATCCGCGCGCCCGCAATCAAACGGCCTAAATTCGCTCCCGCACGCATGGACTGCCCAGATACGTTTCCTCCCCAAACGCGATTGGACGATACATATCAAATGCGATAGACGATCTAAATTAAATGGATATGGATATAAATAGATTCTTCACACTAAACCCTATCCCTACCCACCAGACCTCCCCCCCCCCCCCCCCCGCCCGGAGAAGAAGACCCAACTGCTAGGAAGGAAGCCGCCGCCACTCGCCGTCGCGCCGAAGCCACTTTCGACCGCCAAAAGAGGTAAAAAATTTCTCATTTGCTCGGAATTCAATTTTAAATATCTTTATGGTTAAATCGGAGTAAAAGAACTAACTGATTAGCCAAAAATCGCAGACAAAACCCCGTGAAATTTTTTTCTTTGCTCGGAATTCAATTTTAAATACCTTTATAATCAAATCGGAGTAAAAGGACTCGCTGATTAGCCAAAAATCACAGGCAAAGCCCCGCAACGCCACCGCAAAAATTAAAAAACCGCCTTGGAGCTTGTATACACACATTATTGCTGCAACAATGTGTGTATTTCCGATGGGGACTACTGCAGAAAATTGCAAAAATTGCCAGAATCCCCAAACTGGCCGAAAATAGTTTCTAACACCGATTTTTAGTTTTTGGGGTATTTCTAAGTACTTGAAGCGTGTTTTAATCTCGGAATGAAAATTTAAAAAACCCGGAGGGGACTGCCAGTAGGTACTGTTAAAAGTTTAGCGTTCAAACACCAATTCGGGTAAGAATCCATCACCTTATTCCATGTTATGGAATTAAAATTTAATTATAAATAATATGGTATTTTGCATAATTTGGAAATATTGATAATTAAAGGTTATTAATGGAATCGGAACCGATTATTTATTACTGTTTGTCATGTTTAACTGATTGATTGATTTTACAGTTTCGAATGCATGATAATACACTATGATTGATATGATAATTCAATTGTATTTCCTTGATATATGTATTGTTTGTTTTACGTTATTTACAGTTAATTGAGAAATTGAAAATTAAAGATAAATATAAAATTATTTGATTAAGTGAATGGATAAATGATACCCTTACTGGATATCCTAGGAGATGGTAGACGGAACAAGTACATAGAGAACCCTACCGTGAACGTTGCCTTATACTGGACGGGATATCGAGAATTTGTATTTTGTCACTCATACCAGACGGAGTATGGGGATAACCCATTTCACCCTCATACTTGACGAGGTATTGAGAGATTATATCTTTTAGTGCTCATACCGAATGGGGTATGGAGACGGTCCGTTACTTGAAAAGGTTGAATGAATGTTTACGTATTGCAGGGACATTCCTATGAACCTTCATGGATACCAGTAGGTTGATAAAAAAGAAAATTATTGTTACGACTGATTGAATATGATATTATAGTATTATTTATG